TTTAATTCCAGTAGCCATACTAGTTGCCATAGAAACTGGGTGGTGCATGCCTTTAATCCCAGTGGTATACACCTTTAATCACAGCCCTAGAGAGGAATATAAGATAGGAGGAGACAGTTCTCAGTCACATTCTCATTCTGAGTTACACTTTGGTCCAAATCAAAATTTAAAAAATGCTATATGTGTTCAATACCAATGGGAAGTATAAATGTTATACTGAGTGAAAGAAAAACCATTATTGAAGAAATTAATTTTCATCTTCTATATTTAGTGATGAAGGCAGTCTAGGGCTTTGTAAAACCTAAGGAAAGAGAGCCTATATGGCATTGGGTGGTATTCCATTTTACTTGTGAATTAAGTAAAGAGAAAGATTGAAGACAGGTTAAAAATTCAGTAGAAGGTAAGAGAAGAAGTGAAAAAAAGAACTGAAATGCTAGTGATGCCATCATGATGATGGCATTGAGATGCAGGGGTGAGCAAGTTCCATAAAAATCAGGACCAATACTAAATCACTAAATATTGACTTATCATAATGCATCTGTTCCTAGTTGCTACCTTAGAATCCATGAGATACAACAGTATTTAAAAAAAAAGACATTTCACTCTGTTCTTCATTGCAGCCTTCACAGTACATAAGAATGGCCTTCTTTTTTATAAATTGTTTTTATTGAGTTAAACATTTTTCTCTGCTCCCCTCCCTTCCTCTACTCCCCCCTTCTACCCTCTCCCATGGTCCTCATGCTCCCAATTTACTCAGGAGATCTTGTCTTTTTCTTCTTCCCATGTATATTCGATCCATGTTTATGTCCAAAAGTCACTTATGAATGAGTACACATTATATTTGTCTTTCTGGGTCTGAGTTACCTCACTCAATATGATGTTTTCTAGCTCCATACATTTGCTCACAAATTTCAAGATGTCATTCTTTTTTTTTTTTCTGCTGTGCAGTACTCCATTGTGTAAATGTACCATATTTTCCTTACCCATTCCTCAGTCAAGGGACACTCAGGTGGTTTCCAGGTTCTGGCTATGACAAATAATGCTACTATGAACATAATTGAGCACATGTACTTGTGGTATGATTGCGCATTTTGGGTATTTACCCAAAAGTAGTATTGCTGGGTCTTGAGAAAGATTCTTTGTTATTTTTATAAAAATTTGCCATACTGAAATTCAAAGTGGCTGGACCAGTTTGCACTCTCACAAGCAATGGATGAGTGTTCCCTTTACCCCACATCCTCTCCAGCATAAGTTGTCATCAATGTTTTAGATCTTGGCCATTCTTACAGGTGTAAAAGTGAATCCCAGAGTTGTTTAGATTTGCATTTCTCCAATGGCTAAGGATGTTGAGCATTTCCTTAAGTATATTTCAGCCATTTTAGATTCATATGTTGAGAATTCTCTGTTTAGGTCTGTACTCCATTTTTTACTGGATTATTTTTGCTCTTTTGATGATCAGTTTCTTAAGTTCTTTGTATATTTTGGAGATTAGTTCTCTGTCTGACATTTTCTCTTGTTGACCATATCCTTTGCTTTACAGAATTTTCTCAGTCTCAGGAGGTCCCATTTATTACTTGTTTGTCTACTACAGAGCTGCAGTACTGAAACCAGCCTGGTATTGGCATAAAAACAGGCAGGAGGATCAATGGAACTGAATTGAAGACCCAGATATCAATCCACACACTCATGAACACCTGCTTTTTGACAAAGAGGCAAAAAATATAAAATGGAGAAAAGAAAGCATATTCAACAAATGGTGCTGGCATAACTGAATATCCACAAGGAGAAGAATGAAAATAAATACATATGTATCACCATGCACAAAACTCAAGTCCAAATGGGTCAAAGACCTCAACATAAAACCAACCACATTGAACCTCATAGAAGAGAAAGTGGGAAGTACACGTGAATGCATTGGCACAGGAGACCACTTCCTAAATACAACCCGAGCAGCACAGACAATGAAAGAATGGCCTTCTTAGAATTCTGTTCTTCTATTGATTTAATTCTAGCAACCGTGTTCCTGTTATATAATATGATTTCTAGATCAAACCCACAGTGGACAATAGCTCTTTGATATCATTTGGTCTCTGAAACTTATGTGTTTCAAGGACCCTTCAGGTATTCAAGACACTGTGAGCTTTGTTTGATTACCAAGCTGTATCATAAAGAGGTTATAATGTGCAAACCTGTATTATTTGTCATAGCCAGAACCTGGAAACCACCTAAATGCCCCCTTGATACAGCTAAATCACCATACAGTGTTTACCAATAACTTATGTGGAATTGGCTTCAGGTTTTTTGTGTTTGTTTCTGACATTATGTTGCTTACAACCATCACACTTGGAAAAGAACTTCTAGTTCTCCTAGTGATAAAGAAATGGGTGTTTTAATTGGCAAGTGCTATCCTTCCTAACCACATTGCACTTTCCATCAAAACAGAATGTTTCACCTTTTTGATAAAGACACTTTCTAAGTGACTTTGTCTTCTTCAAATTTCTATAAAAGATATTGGATGTCCCTTCCATCATTTCAAACTCTGCATGGCTTTACTAACAGAAATGAAATCTGTCTTCAACTTCCTGGAGGCTGTGAATATCAACTAAGCTTCTAAAATAGAGAAAAGAATAAAAGGAGAAGACTGAGGGGGAGACAATTACACAGCAGGCCAACCCAGGGGCCTGAAGGCCACTTCTGGGTTAAAGAACACACAATTCAGCATCAGACAGCTTTAGGATTTAGTTCAATACTAAACACCATTGGCTTTAGATAAAAGTTGGGTTTATAAAACCCAACTTCATTACAATAAAACAGATTGAATTTAATCGTGAATAATAGCTTGATTTCAAAATTTCATTAACAGTGTCTGAATTTCAATTCCTTTTCTGTAATACAGAAATGATAAAAATATACCATATGATACGGATGTGAATAACACTTTAAGCATCAACCATAAACAAAGCTTAAATTATAGCAATTATTTAAAGTAGTAAAGTGATAATACATGGCTTTCTGCATCTGCTCTCATTAGTTGCTGTATGATGTCACTCTGATGACAGTTGGGCCAGGCACTGGTCTATGAGTATAGCAGAATATCATTAGGAATGATTGCATTAACTTTATTTTTTAGACCAGTTATGTTTGGTTCTATTTTGTGCCTCTGGGTTGTCTTGCCACTGGTTCCTGGCTATCCAGGCAGGTTCATGTTTGGGATCCCTCATATACTGTGAGCCTCAACATGGACCAGTCATTGGTTGGCCACTTCCACAAGTTCTACCCCACCATTACACCAGCCACATCTTGCAGGCAGGACAGATTGTAGATTGAAAGCTATTTGACTAGGTTGATATCTCAGACTCGCTGTTAGGAGCCTTTCTTGATTATAGAAGATGGACAGTTTGGGCTCTATATTCCTTATTACTACACAACTTTGCTAAGGCCACTTTCAGATTCCAGGGAGTTTCCACTGCACAATCTGAAAACAATCTAGATGTCTCTCAGCTGAAAAGTGGATAAAGAAAATATGGTACAATTACACAATGGAGTATTACTCTGCTGTTAAAATAATGGCATTATGAAATTTGCAGAAAAATTGATGAAACTAGAAAAAATCATCCTGAATGAAGTAACTCAGACCAGAAGACACATGTAATACTCACTTATAGGTGGATACTAACTGTTAAGTAAAGAATAATCATGCCACAGTTCATAGTAATAATGAGGGCTCCAGAGGTGACGCATGAATCTCCTTGGAAAGGGAAACTAGAACAGATCTTTGCAGGTAGACTGGGAGCAGGTGGGAATGGGAACAGGAGGGATCAGGTCGGGGTAGAAGTAAATACTGGGGGAGACGGCTAGAATTTGGGGGCATTTGTGTGTGGGGGCAATGTAGAAAGCTTTCCTATTCTTGAGAGGGATATATCTTTGCGACCTCACAGAGCTACAAGAATCAAAAAGTCTATGAGCTCTGCCTTCTATGGGTGCCATAGACAGATGCACAAGCCATTGTCCGCTCTATCATCTTTTCTCACCTGTCTATCCCAGGTGCTCAGCATTTGTTATTGATGCTACCCACATTGCATTGTTCTTTTCTTGACCATAGCTCCCTAGACTTCTTCAGAGGAAACCAAGACCTCCTTTCTTCTTCTTCAGCTGAATCTAAGTCTGTCAAAGGACCTCTCTCTCCCCTCTCTGCTGAATGGTCATAGAGAGCAGCAACATCCCAAGAGTGATTGACATACCATCATCCTGCTGTTAATTGCCATTCTCTGCTAAGGACCCCTAAGAAGTTCAGAAGATGTATGTGTTGGATGGGAGACAGAGAAAAGTGACAATAAAAAAACAAGAGGGCCCTGAAACATAAACCAAGAAGTGGGAAGGAGCTCTGGGCGTGGTATAAAAGCTCTAAATAAAGTGAATTTGAAAAATGCCCTGGTCATACTGAACAAATTTAGAGTATCAAAATAATAACAGCAACATACTAGGCCCACTCAATAAAAGAGAACTAAGGATCTTATTATATAGATAATATATATGCATAAACTGATAAATTAAGTGAATATGTATTGATGACTAAAGGTTGATGAGCAATGGGTTGATACTTAGTATCAAGTAAACTCTCTATAACATTGGTAAACAATAAAGGAGGAGAGTGTAACTTTGTAGACAAATCAATACCATGTGCTCCCTAAAGAGACACAGAGAGAAACATGCTGCTTCTTCTGTAATATTTTTGAAAAGATAAATGATTTTAGCTTAATCATAAAAAAATATCTCATCACCCCAAAATGAAGGGTGCTCGGCAAAGAACCTGATGGAAAGCTTAACAATGTCAAGGTTGCAAAAGTCACCAAGGCCAAAATTCTGCTCCGGCTTCTAGGAAACTAAGCAGATGTAACAAGCAAATAGAAGATGAGATTCTGAAGTGGCTCTTTATTGCCTAACAGACATTATTGGAACAACTGGTGAAATTTTAATTTTTAATAATCTAAAGATGAGCAGCTATTAGTCCTTTTTTTCTGTACCTTTCATGAGGCAATTTGTATTCTATCATAAGACTATGAGACTGTGGGTTTCTGTCTGTCCTCTTCTGAGGCATTGGAGTCTCATTCTGTACCTGAAACATAGTAAGCCTTCAGTAAATGTTTACATAAGGAAAATAAATTCAGAGGCAATAGATCTCTAAGTTACTTTAATGTTCCATAACTCATTAGATGGAAATTCTTCCCTGGGATGATTAATGAATCAAGTATTTATGCTGGCTATGTACTAAGCAAATTAAAAATATTATTTAATTTAAGGACTCATTATTATAATTTGTATCTCTGATGTCGCTGGAAGGACTATGTGCTAAATTCTTAGTCTCTAGATTGATGCCCCTGTGAAATGGCAGAACCATTGGGAGGTTTGAGGTCACTGGGAACATGCTCTTAAAGGTGACAATGGGACCTCAGTCTCTTCCTCTTTCCATTTCTCTTTTCTCAGCCTGAGGTAATTGGCCACAGTCTGGCACAAGCTGCTGCCTTGCTAAACGTCCCCAAAACAGCAGAACCAACTAATCATGAACTGAAACCTCAGAAAACATGAGCCAAGGTAAAGTTCTCCTCTATATTGCTTGTTTAATTTGGTGTGCTACAACAACAGAAGGCTGACTAACATGGCTTGCCCTACGTGATGGAACATGTCATCACCAGTTGAGCATCACGAGGTTTACACATGGGACAATTGCCTAAGCATACCTTCTTGGCATCTGGGAAATTAAAACATTAGCTCAGGTCGACCTGGATATTTTTCCTCTGCCAGCCTCCCTATGCACAGTGTTGCAGCCATGTTGCTAGCAGCAGAGGGACTTTCCCCAGGTCTCCATCTGAATCAGAACTTCCTTTGGCCCCCTGCAGACAATGCTTAGCTTACTCCTCCATCTCCGGTTCACCACTAGCAATGAAAGAAAGATTTTTCCATTTCAAAGTCGGTGAAGGAGAGCGGTATGAAATCCAACCAAAAAAGAAAACTAGAGATAGTGAGTGTTTAAATGGTGACTTATTTAATACATACAGTGCATGACTGGGGCACGGGGTATCTTCCTAGGATTGCATCTATAAATAGCAAGGGGTGGGTGTGCATCTCATAAATTAAATTATACGCTAATTTGTTCAGTCTTTGTCTTTCCAGGTGCTGTGATTTTAAAGCTTCCTCACCAAAATTCAAGAGTTACCAATGTAATATTAAGACTTTGGCCATTTAGGGGACAATCAGACAATGAGGGTACTTTACCCTAACAACGAGATTTGACAAGAAGTCATTGTTTCCTGTCTTTTAACCAATCAATTGAGAATACTCTCCCCAAATGTCAGAGAATAGATCTAGAATTTACCAGTCTTCAGAATTGGAAGAAACAAAACCCCACCCTTGATACATCACCCCATCTTAGTTACTCCGCTATAGCAGCACAAAGCAGACCAAGATAACAAAAACAGTCCATGAGATAGAAAGTGGTTGAGGAGAATGAAACACGGTAAATAATACAGAGGAGGAGACATGGTGGATTGCCTAATTTATTCTAACCCCCCACCAGTTTTAGGGTCAGGAACAGGAGAGCAATGCCAGAAGAGGTAAGGAACCATGTGGGCTAAAATCACATGGAAATGGGATGTAGAAAAATCAGATGTGGAATATCAGTATCTACACATACCTGGTCTTCTATTCTTTCCCTTCCTTGTTGGTATGAGGAAGCATACATTTAACTATGATTTCTTACTGATTTAATCTGCAATCTTTGTGAATCATTTGTAGTAGAGAATGATACAAAAAGTGCATCTCCTATTGTTAGTGCACCCACCCATGGGATCCCCTTGAGCACGGGGCTAGAGATTTGTCAGAAACTGGGCTCTGTAAGACCAACTCCCCAAGTTCTAGATGCAAGGGGGCTATCTGAATCAAACAAGTGTATCATGGATGGGGAAAATAAGTTCAGTAAGCTTTAGAAGGAGACGGCAGGGCTGGGGAGATGGCTCACTGGTAAAGTGTTGGCCCAATCCTCAATACTCATGCCTGAAGCTGGGTACAGAAGCACATACCTGCGTTTCCAGTTCTGGGGAGGTAGAAACAGGAGGCTCTTTGGAGCTTTCTGACCAGATATGCTCGCTGAATCGGTGAGCTTAGATTCTGTGAAAGATGAGAATTAAGTAGAGGACAGCTAGGTCATACAATCGGTGTTGACTTCTGACTTCCACAGGTACACACGCACATGCTCTCTCTCTCTCTCTCTCTCTCTCTCTCTCTCTCTCTCTCTCTCTCTCTCTCTCTCTCTCACACACACACACACACACACAAAATCCCTTATCTTTTCCAGTCACTTGTTGTTATTGAACTGGAGACAAAATTATCAGTTCATTCTTTATGGCCAGATGACTAAAAGGGAAAGGAGGAAATTTTCTTCAGTAACGGGTTGGTGTAGGATCTGAGTTGAAGCTGAAAATGGACAGCTATACCACTTAAGACCAAGAGAGGTGCCTCTGAAAATAATAGCAAGGTCAATTGTCCCAGACCCCAGTGCACACATTTTAGGTCAATATGCTTGGTCATTAACTTTGTGCTAGAAGAGAAGTAGCACAGAGTTAGGAAATGTGTGGCTATAAGGGCAGACAAATGGAATACCCAGTAGGTAAGGGGTCTAGAGAAACAAAGATCAGAAGAGCAGTGGACTGTGAGAAGATATGGGATGGGGAGATGAGGGCAACAGTGGTAGGATGTGGGCCCTCTCTAAGCTGCAGGTTATTGCCTTTGAGAACAGCCACTATGAAAATGGCCTCAATAGCCAAATAGGTCAATAGCTATCAGCCAGACTCTGTAGCTGATGTACACAAAATGTGTGTATAGAGGTATAGTCTTAGCTGTATAGGAAAATGGTTTCAAAAACTAAGCTGGGCTTCCATCTCTTTCTTTTTTTTACTCAAATCCAACCCACAAAGTGGAGACCTGCACATTGTAGGCCTCTATTGGGAATATGGTAATATCTGGTACAGATCACACTGTGAGCTTTGAAAGCAGGCAGACATATCCTTTGTCCCTCTGTCCACAGGCCATGTGACCTTGAACAGATTTACATGCCTCTCTGAAACTTACTGAGACAAAATGCCTGCATGTAGGTGTTCACAAGCACCTAATGGAATGATGCAGATGAAGGTGTGGTCCACTTTGGTCACACACTAACCTAAAGATCAGATGCTGTTGTCTGTAGCCAAAGTTTTTGAAGTCAGCACTCTATGACCTTTGAGACTCTCCTAGAATTCTCCATTCCATTTTCAACAAACTTGCAATTATCTTTTTTACTTATCTTAATTTATTCAGGCTGTTGTAGCAATTGGCCAAAATCCAACGGCTTATGAATAATTGAATTCATTTCTCACAATTCTCAAGGCTAGGAAGTCTGAAATAATGGTGCTTCTGGATACTCTGAGAGCACCCTTGCTCTGTACCTCACAGACAACATCTTGTTCCTGCCTACTGATGATATTAATTAACCTCATTGCTGGGGGTTCTCCCCACTCATGACCTGGACACTCACAAAAGCCCCTCCTCCTGAAATCCATGGAGTTGGAATTTCAGAATATATATTGGGAATGATATATTTTTTTAGAATGCAGCACCTTTATAAGAATTTTATATCCAGACTGGAAAAGAGGCTTCATATTTGAGCTGTTTCCAATTGTCTAGTTGTAGTAACACAAAGGCAAAGTTGAGATACAGTCTGAGGAAGCATCCAACAGGCAGCATCCCCAACCTCAATTTCTGCCTCATTTTCTTCCGTGATTCTCAGGGCACTCTAAATGTCCCTAGAGTAAGGCAGGCTCGGAGCAAGTGGCACAATCATGTAACAAAGGGGACATACTTAATGAAAGATCTAAAAGATATATATCACTTAACAAAGCAATTAAATACATTATCCAAGGCTGTGCCACCTGGGCCCTAAGGACTGCATAGCAAGCCTAATATGATCATTATGATCAGGCACCCACAGTCAGCCCCAGATGTGAGTTAATAAAGAAAGATTAATGAAAAAATACAACAGCTTACAAATAGAGAGAGGCATCAATGATGACAGATTAACATATCTTGAATAATAAACTACGTATTTGGCAAATCAACAACACCAAAAACCTGTGTGGAAGAATAATGTTATTCCTCCAGCATTGGATTATTGATTTCTTTCCCTGTAAGGAAAATAAGGAAACAAGAAGAAAACAAACAGAAAGAACAAAGCTTAAAACTGGATTTAAAACTGGATCCTATGTTTGACTTCGTTGTTTATTAAATGAATGCTAAATGAATTTTATTTATCAATGATGATAAAGGAAAACACTCTCACTGAGAAGCAACAAAGTAAATATAATAATAATAATAATAATGCATTCTTTTTCCCACTACTATTTCCTTTACCTTGATACTGACCCCACCATTCTCAAATGAAAGTGTTTAAGCTGATGTGGAAACCAACAGAAAAGCAAAGCAATGGCAGGGAGGATCTGGCACACGGAACAGGTATCATATGAATTGCAAATTGACAAAGAAGATGAAGTGCCCATTATTTGGGTCTAAAAGTATGCTAAATAATACAGGAATCATAAAACAGACCTTGCTAAAGTAGCTGAGCATTCAAATAAAATCTCACACAAGCCTATGAGTCACCTACCACAATGTGAGCAAGCTTAGTTTTGAAGCACTTGAAATCCAGTAGTCTGGCTTGGTTACAAAAAATAGAAAGATGCTCCTTATGGATGCTCAGGTGCGTTAACTTTGCAGAGTAAGCAGTGTCCCACTCACTCCAGGTGTCACACAAGAATCTAGTTCTCTCTGCTCTTGATGCCAGATGCATCCTGTATCTATATCACCCAGGGTTCACACAGAATGATGACAGCGACCATTTGAGCTACCTGTGCCTTTGCTCCTGTTCAGCATGAGGAAGACCCCTTTTCCTCCAAAACATGGGCTATAGATCCTTCCCTCCAAGCAAAATGGGACAACTTGGGAGAGCTGTTAGTTGAATTGCTCCTGTATATCATGTATGGGAATGCTAAAAGCAGTAATGGACCAGTTTTCTCTAAATTGAACAGGTAAAGAATGTGTGTGAGAACAGATAATTGGGCCTTATAAAGAGGGGAAATGGAGGCTGGGTAGGAAAATAATAGGGTCATTACATTTGTCGCTAGTTCAATGGTTGACAGTTATAGGGACAATACTGAACCAGTTAAACAGCCCTTAAAACCATAGACTAATTTCTGCAAAAGAGAAAAAAAAACACTTCATATATTACCAAGCCATTCTAAAATTCTCCTGAAATACAATAATAAATTTATATACCTGAAGGATAAAAGACAACCCTATTTACCCAACAACAACAACAATAATACAAAAAGAAAATCAGATCACTTAAGTCTAGAGGGTAGAATACTTAGAACAATTGAATCAACATTTTAAGTCCAGGAAATCAGAAATATCCAATGTATTAAATATCAAGCAGAGAGACAGCATTTGCCTTAAATAAAGCCAACTGAGCTATGGATACACAATAAAATATCTGTATAATAATAAATATTGATGTGCTAGTTAGTTCAACTTGGCATTATTGATATTTTTTCATTGGAAAGCAACACTTAAAAACTGCCAGAAGTACAGAAAGCAATTATAACTTTTCAAATGACCGGTCATAAACAAAGCGCTTCTGCTTGATAAGGCTTCTCTAATTTCTTCTGGCTGCCACTGATAATGGTCTGTAAATAATGCTGCCTCAGTATCTGGTGTCTAAAATATTTAACACCGGGACAAAGACAAGCTGGCTAGGCACAGGCCTCTTGATAGTTGATATCTTGATCCCAAAATATTTACTTCCCATCCAAGCCCACTCCAGGGCTGTAGAGATAAACAACCTCTGTACACAAAGAAGCATTGTTCCCTGGGAGGAAAGCTGGGGCGTGGCTCTCTAGAAGATGGACTTCAGTTTGTTATGTAGAAGGAAACATGCCAGGAAGTTCACATTTTGAAATATCCCCAGTTCCTGTGTCTGGTATTCTCAGCTGGGCCGCTAAACCCATTAGGACCAAGTCCAGCTCTGAGTATAGAGCAGAAAAATAAGCAAGCAACACAAGCAATGAAGCCCTTTCCCTTTCCTCCTTCTCTTAGAAGGGGCTCAGCCAATCATTGAAGACTAGAAGATCCTAACATGTAGTAGAAACTCTTCATTCATGTTCATTTTAATTAGTGCATATTAGAGGGTAAAGAGTTATAAAGAGTTACGAGGGAGAGGGCTCAAGATAGATTGTATACTTACATGAAAAGCATCCATGATGGGACTAAGGGTGGTGTTCAGTTGGTAGAATGTTTACCTAGCATGAGCAAAACCCTGAATTCAATTCCTGGGACTGTAAATTAGGCATAGTGGATACTTGCCTTTTATCTCAACCCTTGAAAAGTAGAGGCAGGAGGATCAGAAATTCAAGGCCATCTTTGGGCTATAAGAGATACTGTTCCAAAGAAAAATGTCCTCATGAAAACCAATATTACGTACAATGAAAAATTTAATTGAATTAAAATGCCTAAATGAGGTTAGGGGGGTGACCAACTTTTTTTTTTAATACTCTCTGTTCCCACTCCCACTCCCTTTCATCTGAGATATTAGACTCCTGAGCTTCCTATCAGGAATTCAGCTGCAAATATTGTGTTCCCATCTCTCTCAGTGCCTTCCTACACAGCCTTCTTCATGTAATCCCGTTGCCTGCAAGACATTCTCGACCAGGAACCAGCAAGCTTTCCCTGTGAAGGGTGAAGCAGTGAATGTTTGGTTTGGGGGCAGTCACATGATCTGGTGTCTACTGCGACTGCTCACCTCAGTCCTCTGTCAGTGTGCAGTAGCTGCAGGCAACATGAAAACAAGTGAGGTCCCCATGTTCAAACAATCATGCTTATGAACATTCAAAAACTATATTATTCTCATGTTATTCTACTTTTGTTCTTACATAAAAATACCTTTTTTCATAATTATTACACACATGTAACAAGCCGTTTAAAGGTATTTTTATGAATCCTTTGAGAATAATGTTTTGATGATGTCAAACTCCTCCCACAACTCTTCCCTAATCCAGTCCTCCCAAACCCTTTCTTACCCATCC